AAACTAACCCTTTCTGTTGGTGATGATAATGTTACTTTTAATTTAGGGAAAGTTTTGAAAGGACCTATGTTAGAGGAAAATTGTTGTTTTATTGATGTAATTGATATAATGAATGATATTTATGATGATAGCTTACCACATGTTCTTGCAAGGGATCCCTTGGAGGAAATTCTTTGTGGAAATTTATCTGCAGATAATGCAAGCATCTTGGGTAATGAAGAACATGTTGTTGAAAAAGCTCTTTCCCTAAAAGAGTTAGACCCCAAGGAGACAATGAAGGTAGTAAATTTAGTTCAGGAATCAAAACCTGCAGAGGTTAAGAAACCTGAACTAAAACCTCTCCCTTCTCATTTAAAATATATTTTTCTTAATGAGCAGGAACTATACCGTGTGATCATCAGTACTACACTTGATGACCTACAAACTTCCCAACTCCTAGAGTTTCTTCAAACGCATAAAAGAGCAATTGGGTACAGTATAGATGATCTTAAAGGTATTAGCCCTGATTTTTGTATGCACAGGATACATTTACAGGATAACTATAAGCCCTGCATTCAACCCCATAGAAGGTTGAATCCTAATATGCAAGAAGTATTCAAGAAAGAGGTTATGAAATTACTTGATGCAGGTATTATCTATCCTATTTCTGACTCCAAGTGGGTAAGTCCTGTGCAGGTGGTGCCTAAAAAAGGTGGGATGACTGTGATTACAAATGAGAAAAATAAATTGATTCCCACTAAAACTGTTACAGGGTGGCGTATGTGCATTGATTATCTTAGACTAAACATCGCCACTAAAAAGGACCACTTACCCCTCCCCTTTATAGATCAAATGCTTGAGAGGTTAGCTAACCATAAGTTCTTTTGCTATTTGGATGAGTATTCGGGATTTTTCCAAATTCCAATTCACCTGAAGATTAGGAAAAGACTACATTTACATGCCCTTATGGTAATTTTGCATATTGTAGGATGCCCTTTGGTTTATGTAATGCCCCCGCTACCTTTCAACGTTGCATGATGAGCATTTTTTCTGATTTCATAGAGTCTATCATGGAAGTCTTTATGGATGATTTTAGCGTATATGGTTCTTCATTTGATGCATGTTTAATAAATCTCGCTAAAATTTTGAAACGATGTGAAGAATGCAATTTAGTGCTAAACTGGGAGAAATGTCACTTTATGGTGACAGAAGGAGTAGTTCTAGGTCACATTGTATCAGATAAGGGCATACAAGTAGATAAAGCTAAGATTTCAGTGATTGAGCAATTACCTCCCCCAATTAATGTTAAGGGAGTTAGAAGTTTCTTAGGTCATGCGGGGTTTTATCATCGCTTTATCAAAGATTTTTCTAAAACTGCTAAACCACTAAATCAGCTTTTACTCAAGGATGCCCCTTTTATTTTTACTGACGAGTGTCTTGAGGCTTTTAACAGGATAAAGCAGGCTTTGATATCGACACCCATCATATGTGCTCCCGATTGGAATCTACCCTTCGAGATCATGTGTGATGCAAGTGAGTTTGCACTAGGAGTCGTGCTTGGACAGAGAAAGAACAAAGTTTTGCATGCTATTTATTATGCAAGTAAAACTTTGGATGAAGCCCAAGTCAACTATGCCACCACGGAGAAGGAGTTTCTTGTTGTTATTTATGCTTTAGAAAAATTTAGATCATATCTTGTTGGTTCTAAAGTCATTGTTTTTACTGACCATGTAGCTCTGAAGTACTTAATAGCCAAGGCGGAATCAAAGCCTAGGCTACTCCGTTGGGTTCTTTTGCTCCAAGATTTCAATATTGAGATAAAAGATAAAAAAAGGAGCAGAGAACGTAGTGGCAGACCACTTGTCACGTATCAGGTATGATGAGGGTAAGGATTCTCTTCCTATAGATGATTCTTTCCCTGATGACAACATGTATGCAGTTGTAGAGCAACACCCTTGGTATGATGATCTTGCTAATTATTTAGTGGGTGGTACTCTACCTCCTGACTTGTCCTACCAACAGAAAAAGAAATTTCTTTCTGATGTTAAACATTATTTTTGGGATGATCCTTATTTGTTTCGTGAGTGTGCAGATGGATTATTTTGCAGGTTTGTTCCCGAATGGGAAGTTCACGGTGTGCTTACTAGTTGCCACACCTCACCATATGGAGGACATCATGTCCCCACCAAAACGGTGGCCAAGATTAATGAGTCAGGTTTCTATTGGCCTACTGTGTTTAAGGATGCTAACACTTTTGTGCAGGCTTGTGACTCTTGCCAGAGGACTGGCAACATTTTGCGGCGGCATGAGATGCCTCAAACTGGAATCTTAGAAGTTGAAATTTTTTATGTTTGGGGTGTTGATTACATGGGACTGTTCCCTTCTTCAAACAGGAACCGCTATATACTTGTCGTCGTTGACTATGTATCCAAGTGGGTCAAGGCCATTGCCACTCCTACTAATGATGCCAAGGTGGTCCACAGACTTTTCAAGAAGACGATCTTTCCAAGAGTTGGAGTGCCTAGAGCTATAATCAGTGACGGAGGATCTCACTTTCATAAGCGGAAGTTAGACACCCTCCTCAAAAAGTATGGTGTTTACCATAGGACAGGTTTAGCCTACCACCCCCAAACAAGTGGCCAAGTTGAAGTTTCCAACCGTGAGATCAAGGCCATTCTAGAGAAGGTGGTAGCAAAATCAAGGAATGATTGGAGCGATAAGTTGGATGACACCCTTTGGGCATACAGAACTGCGTTTAAGACTCCAATAGGTACTACTCCATATAGACTCGTGTACGGCAAAGCATGTCATCTTCTGGTGGAATTAGATTACAAGGCATATTGGGCTATTAAGGAGCTCAATTTGGATGCCAAATTAGCGGGAGAAAAGAGGTTACTTCAACTTAACCAACTTGATGAGTTTAGGTTGACGGCCTATGATAGTGCTCGTGTCTACAAGGAGAAGACAAAGAGATGGCACGACAAGATGATCCTTCCGAGAGAGTTCAAAGAAAGAAGGTGATAAAGTGTTGTTGTTCAACTCTAGACTTAAACTATTCCTAGGAAAGTTGAAGTCAAGGTGGTCGGGTCCTTTTACTGTCAAAAGGGCCAACAAATTTGGTTTCGTAGAGTTATTCGATGAGCATGGTAACGAGTTCAAGGTTAATGACCAAAGAATCAAGCTATACCATGAGGGGGCTACGATTGGTGCATTTGAACTACTTCACCTAAGCGGTTCCGGTTCATCTTGAGCTTCAATGTGGTAAGAGGGTCGTGCGGGACCTACATAAACCAGCGCCCACTTTGCGGAAGGCAACCCATATTTCTTGCTTTCTAGACTAGTTTTTCCTTTTTTTTTATTTTTATTTTTATTTTTTTAGGGGAGATGAGGAGAGTGCAATTTTACCTTTCATAAATGTTTTTGTATAGGTATTAGATCATAAAGTAAGGAATTTAAAGAGGAAAAGTTATAAGAAAAAAAGCATTCCGATTTGGGTACGGGCCCGATCGAGCGAGCCTCGCCCGATCGAGCGTGCACATAAGGGTCGAAATCGAGCGAAAATATGCCGATCGGGGAAGGGGTCCCAATCGGGCGCGCAAATTGAGATTTGTCGGAGCTTAATTTCACTGATCAGGCGAGGCACGCCCGATCAGGCGAGCAAGTAAGGAAGAAAAATCAAGGGAAATTCGCCCGATCGGGCGGATATTTGGAGAAATCGAGTGAAGGAAAAAGATTTTTCGGGCGAAGCTCGCCCGATCGGACGAACAAAGGGGGCGAAAAATCCTTCGAGTTTGCGCCCCATTGGGCGGAGGTCTCCCGATCGGGCGCGCACTTCATAAATCTGGAAACCTAAATCTCGCCCGATCGGGCGCGCCTATTTTTGGCCGAGCCTTTATTTCCTCTTCTCCTCCTTTCTTTTCTTTCTCCTTCTTACTTCTTCTTCTTCATTCACACTTTCTCTCTCTAAAACCTCCATTTTTACACCTTCAAACTCACTTTCCTTCCAAGATCTCCTCAAATTCATCCATCAAAACTCCATAATTTTTACATATTCTTCATCCTTACACCTTCCTCTACAATCCCCACTAAATCTCTACCACTTTCTCTCAAGATTTCTCAAAACCCTTAGAGAGATAAAGCTTCAAATCCTACCATTCATACATAAAATGGCTTCCAAAAGATCAAGACAACAAAGGGGTGAGAGTTCGAGGCAACAACAACCGATGGTTGACCCGGAGCTTCAAATTCCGGGATGGAACGAAGTAGTCATTACCTCGACCGAGCAACGCACTAGGATGCTTAACCTCATTGAGAGGCAGGTAATCTCTACATGCTTTGTTCACCATCCTACTTGTCTAGATTAGGGCTTGATAAACCGGTAGAAAAATTGTTCAAGGGTATTGGAATGAGTGGATTTTTTCAAATGCATTATGACACTTATGATTATTTGACTTTAGAATTTGTTTCTAGTTTCAATGTTATTAAAACTAATGCTTTAATTACTCATGTTCAATTCCGATTGCTAAACAATGATGTGCATTTAACTTTAAAAGAATTTGGAAAATTGTTTGAGCTTAAATTGGATAAACCCATTGAACCCTCCAAGACCACATTGTCGTGGTCTATAAAAGACTCGCCGGGGAGGGTTTACTCAACCTCCAACATGCCAAGGGGACGTGGATCCAACATCCCGTCCCAAATTTTTGACAAAGGTTTGCCGGCCTCACAATCTTTGGGAGGCATGAACCGGCAAACGTTAGGAGGGATGAGCTTGAGTTGTTGGCCTCCTATATGATCCCTAATGCTGAAAAACTGAACATACCGCATAGGATAGCCTAACATTTCCAAAGGGCGACCAATGCGGCCGAGGGGGTAGGTTTAGGGCGCCTATCTATTTTGGGGGGTTGGTTACCCATATAGCGGTAAAGCACCTAGGATGGACCCCGACCGGCCATAGGAAAGTGGAGGGTTCTACCCTTATGGACCTAGCCTACTTAGGAGGCCTTAACTGGGTGCAACCCATGGGAGGTGAGACATGGTGGATAGTCCACCGGGAGTCAGGAAGGAGAGATCAAGCTTTTAAGCTACCTAACCCTGCCTTGACCAAATTTGAGAAGGAAAAGCCTTCCTACACCTTTGAGTTAGACGGTCAAGGCGAGGCCCAAGAGCCTCACCATTCACCACCACCCCACCCTTCACCCCAATACCATCCACCACCCCAACCCTACACATATGACATCCCCACCTCCTCCGTTGATTACAACATAGACCCCCATGCCCCATATGACTTTCCGGCTTTTAGGAGCCAACTTGACCGGATTGAGAGAGGGCAAGGGAGAGTGGAGGGGATGGTGCAAAACCTAGACTCTAGAGTAGGTACTCTAGATAGGAGGGTTGGCCATGTAGAGAGGAACCTCGGGAGGGGTTTATACCCCATGTATGACGATTATGCACGCCAAAGGGCTATTCCCCCCGAGACACTAGTTCTCGATTGGTTCCAATACCCCCCAGGAGGTTATTCGACCCCCGGAGCCTATGGTACTTATGTGGACTACTCTTCAGTCCATGGTTATGGGGTCGATGCTCCTTTTGGCGGGATGGGGGGAAAAGTATACCCTAACTACTTTGCAGGTGGTTCAGGCTATGGTGATGCTGGTACGAGCCATGGAGGCGCCGACTTGAGCTATGGAGGAGGATATCAAAGGATGGATGAGAATGATGATGAGGAGTAGCTTCTCCTAGCTACAGCCCCAAGTCAATGAGGGCATTGCTTGATTTGGCTTGAGGGGGGGGGGGAGATATCTTGTACATATGGTAACTCTTTCTCTCTTTTCTCTATTTATCGCTTTCTAGTATAGTTTTTATTTCTTTCTAGTGTAGTTTTTATTTCTTTCCTATATGAAAAAATACAAAAAAAATTGAAAAATAAAAAAAAAATCCAAAAATACATTCCAATGAATTGTAAATCATGCTTCCCTATGTCCCATACTTGGAAAATATCGTTTTGATTCTTGGTATATGATAATGAGCTTTATGAATTTGTTGATCATAATTTGAAGTTTAATTGTTTGGATGCCTAAACATGCGTCAATTTTACCAACCGTTTGTGAATATAGTGCTTGGCTAGTTGATTTGATTAGGAATTGTGTGATAGTTCCTGGTATGTCAAGGATTTTAAGTATTGATTTGCAACTATTAGTAATGTTTGTATGGATCAATATTATGCACATTGAGAAGGACGAAGGCATTTGTTCTCTTAGGTAGCTTTTAGACGATATTAGATACATTTATCCCCTTCTTGCTACCCATGTTGTTTCTTGTGCCCTTTTATTGATTATTTAGCCACATTACAAGACTATATGAGCCCCATTGGTTACTAGTCCCAAGCTTGGCTTGGGGGAGCTATTAGTTGGTGAGGTGAGGGAGTTGTGATGTTCACTTTATTTGCACAATGTGGGAATAAAAGAAGAGTGATTGTTCTTTTGATTTTGTGATTGGAAAAATGTTGATAGTTTATGTTTCAAAGTTGAAAATTTCCAATGTGAGATAAAAAGAAAAAAAAAAGCAAAGAAAAAAAATTTGTTTCAAATTTTCGAATGTTCTATGTGAAGGTTGCTCAAAAGAAATAAAAAAAAAAAGTTCAAGTTTGAAAAAAAAGGAATGAGTTTAAAGTTTGTTTTAATTCACTCTATTTCTTATTATCATATTTTGTGAGTGAATGTGTAAGTGTTGGGATTGTTGTTATGTATAGGATTGTTTGGTGAACTTTTGAGGAGTTAAGTTGTGATTGGAGATGTTTTGGTCATTAATTGTTTTTTGACCTTGGGTTTTGTTAGGATATGGCTCCTTTAAGTATGACTTTTCTCTCACATTTTCCTAAATTTATCCTACCCTTTACCCTAGCCTTACATTACAAGCTTTAAAGGCCTTCCGACCTTTGTGCATAGAATTGTATGAACGAATGTGAAAGTGTTGTTTATCAATGCAAGTTATGATTTGACATATTTCGAGTCGACTAGTAGGTTGAGTGTACATCTTTTTAAACACACGAGAGTGTGAGTTGGGAGGGCACTATTCACATATAAAGGGGTTGGTTGGAGATCAATCGAGTACATCTTTTACTCGCCACATAAATGAGAATTGAGTGTGTGAGCAATAGTCTTGAATTCTATATGCTCATGTGGTTTGCTCTACTTGACAATTGTTGGGGAGCAAGAATGATTAGATGAATGAAATTGACTAACATTGAAGCATGTTCATTAGATTTTCCTTGAATCGTTTGTGCTTGATTTTGTTTACTTGGGATGAAGTGTGTTTTATATGTTCATTGATGAGCTCTTTGCTTAGGGACAAGCAAAGGTTTGGCTTGGGGGAGTTTGATGTGTCCAATTTATATAGTGTTTTACCCCCGTCCCTTGGTCATAATTATTAGTGTTTTTGGCTCTTTAGAGCCACTTTAATTACTAATTGTAGTGTTTTTGTAGTTTTGCTTGAGTTTTGTAATAAATTGCACATTTGGAGCGTTTTCCGGGTTTTTCATGGAGCAATTACGGACATTAGGAGGACACGACCATCTTTGAATCCTAGGACCGGTTAGAGCCGGTGATTAAGGGCTCGATGTGTGATACCGGGGCATTTGGACCGAGTATTCAAGACCCGAAGAGGAAATCCAAATTGGGCCGAAGAATCAAGCCCAATCGAAATCCAAGCCTCGAGGAAGAAACTGGGCCCGATCGGGCAAGCTTACGCCCGATCGGGCGGGCGCGAAGTCAAAGACATCAGGAAAGGCGCGCCCGATCGGGTAAGCGTTAGCTCGATCGGGCGCAGTTTCCCAGGAGGAATACGATGAAAAAGGCGGGCCTGATTGGGCGGCCCTTCGCCCGATCGGGCGCGTGTTTTTGAGGCATCTGATTGCCGAGTTCTTAGTTCTAATTAGGATTGTTTTTTAGAGATGTTTAAGTTTGATTTTAGTACGGAATTGTTGTTTATTTACCTTCTCTTTTAGTCTTTCTCTCTCTGCTTAGAATATTTTCTCTCTCTAAAATTCTCTCAACTTTGTTCTTAACTCAACTCCTTAATTCAGATTACTTTTGGTAACGGTTTTCTTCTCTATTAATTTAAGTTATTTTCTTTAATTCTTTCATCATGTCTTATTTTATTGCTTTGATTAGTTTAGATTTAATTATGCGTGAGTAGTTTTATTTCTAGGGTTTGTGGGGATCCAATAAATAATATGAAGGGGTATTTTATGATTGTTGATTGTCAATGCTTAATTATTTTCCTATTGATTGATTTAATGCTATGCAATTGGGTTTGGCCAGATTTAATTGTATGAGTTTAGCAATATTAATTCAAGATTCGAGAGATGAGAATTGATGTTTAGGCTTAGTTTCAATAGGCGGACTAATTTATAAATGGTTAAGTGGAGATTCGAGAGATGAGATTTAATACCGGTAAATTAATTCTGTGATTGTAATACGTAGCGAAAGCCCTTTATAATCTAATTAATTAATGCATTGATGATTGATTGTTATGTTTTATCCTGAAATACTGTTTATTGGTGAACCTATGCCCTAGGCCTTTTAATATTTGATTTCTCCTATTTTATTCTCCCTACTCATATTCTTCGTAGTATAGTCTTTTAATCACAACAATTTGCTACTTGATAATTTAGATTATATTAATTAATTAGGAATAGAAAGACTTGTTCCCCTGTGGATTCGACCCTACTTCCCTATCTACTTTAGTTAGAAGACTTAGGTAATAATTTTGATTAGGTGATACGACTTGAGCCTGTCAGAAGGGGAGCTCGGTTTCGACAAATTTCACATGACGACAAATAAGAAATTCCATTTGACATATTGTAGCACTGTTAACCACAATGATTGGAAACCGGACCTATATAAACGGAAGGAGTGAACCTTTCTTGCAACTTATGAATAAATTGGTAAGGAAGAAGGGAAAACAAAGACAACCAAAAACAGGTAATTCCGTATAAATAGGATCGCATTGATATAGAATTTGAGCGGGTGACTGAAATCCTAGAACTTTGGTTGGTAAGACGTTTAAGAGATAAGTAGCCATTTATAAAGCATGGTGTATGTACATAAAACCGAATATATGATAATTATATCATATATTCTAACACAATTACTTAAAACTTTATGCCGGTCAATATGCTATATTTAAATGAGAAGAATTGAAGATTAGTTGTGGCAATTTTAAACATTAGGCTTGCTTATGAGATAAGATAGCTCGAGAGCTACTTGGTCAAAGCTCGAGCTCGACTCAGGGCTCTAACGATTCGAATCAAGGTAGTGCCACTAATCGACTCGAAAAGCTCGTGAGAAGCTTAATATGATTAACAATTTTTAAAAAAACTTTTTATGTACTTCAAACATTTTTGTAAAATTATTCTCTTATTAATTTCTCAAGTCTTATAATTAGCTTCAAAGGATAGTGTATTAAGAAAATAATAATAACAATATAATTTTTTTTAATCACCATTAATGTAATATACAAAAAATTAAACTAAAAACACACTTCTACTTAACATAAATCAAATTTTACAATTCTTTAAGAAAATAAAGCAAATTTAGACTGCACAAGGTAATAAAACTGACAAATTAGAGAAAATAGTGAATAGAATGGCTTGATTATTATTCATCAAATGTAAGCTTGCGAGTTTTCGAGCTCGAGCTGAGCCTAATGAGTTCAAGTCGAGTTTAGAGTCTGTTCACATTTACTTAATTTTAGTTCAGTTCAGTTCAGCTCCAATCAGTTCAGTTCAATTCAGTCCAGCACCAATCAGTTCAGTTAAGTTCAGCTTTTAATTTCCTTCTCTTATAAAATATATTCATTTCAATTCAGTTCAATTCAGTAAATCTGAACAGACCCTTAATGATACTCGATCTCGATTCACACCATAATCCATCCTTCCATCCCTACACCTTTATTCATTCATATATATACTTATTATAATGTCTCAACGAATCTAATATTTAGGGGTTGTTTGGTTACACAAAGAAAATGGAGGAAGTAAAAAATTATGGGAATTTGAAAATGGGTGAGTTATTTGGTTGACACTAAAAAGTGAAAATGAGGAAATTGCAAATTCATGGGAATTGTGACTTCCCACAAAACATGGGAAGTTGATTACCCAACCCCCCTAGGTAAGTTAAAATTCCCATGATTTGCAACTTCCTTCATGTCAACCAAACAATTTTAAGCAATTCCCATAAATTTGATGTAGGAATTTAATTCCCATGAAATACAAATTCCTATAGGAAGTAAATTCCCATAGCAACCAAACGACACCTTATTTACTATGCTTGTATGTATGTGTACGACAATATAAAACTGTGTGATTATTAATTATTTGATTTTCAAATAAATTCAATCAACTCAATTTTGAGCCAAAACAACATATTGCCTCCCTTTTGAATAAATTACAACACTTAAATTGGGTTGGCTTGACACATAATTTAAGAAAATATATAGAGTAAGGATTGATAATATTTCGTATAAAGTATAGTTATTAGGGATATATATATATATATATACTTCCTCCGTTTTTTTATTATTGCACCATAGGGGTTGGGTACAAATAGTTTGGTAGTGGAAAAAAGTAAGAGAGAGAGAAAGGTAAAAATACAAAATTGCTCATGTGACATATTAATAAACTAAAAAGTAAATGTGAAAAGACAACGGTATGTTGGGTATTTGTAGTGTGAACACAAATAATTTTTTTCCTCAAGAGAAAATAGTGCAATATTTGTGAAACTTCCTAAAATGGCAAGTGGTGCAATAATAAAAAAACGGAGGAAGTATGATGTTAGTGGTGTTATCTACAAGTCACTTATATTTGCTTGAAGAATAGCGTGCATGTTCGGGCTTGCCTCTTAAAGTGCATGAGACGGTGTCACTAAGAAGATTACGAATTTGAGTAACATAAGGTTTTTTGTCCATACAATGGTGGCCTTTCTTCCCAATAATGTTAGCTTAGCCACCTCGTGTTTAAAATTCTGTTGTTTGATGCTTTTATAAGATATGACTTGGTCATGACTACTATTAGCATACTAATTTGGGAGTAATTAAAGGGTATCGATGTATTGTTTTGCTAATAACTCTCACTTACTCACTTAAAGGGTATCCACGTATCTAGACATATATGTATATTAGATCTTGATAATTTATCTAGATGTATAGTTTATTTTTAATAACTTACTCTAATTTATTTACTTTCGATATTTTAAATAAGAAAATTAAAAGAATTACTCTCTCATTGAGTACTATATGTACAAATTAATTAACTTTGTGATAGTTCAAATTATTTTTGTAGTATATACTACCTCCGTTAATTGTTATTTGCAACTTTGGAGTATTTGAGAGATATAAAATATTCCAAAGTTACAGATAACAATTAACGGAGGTAGTATATATACTAGTTTTGTGTCCCGAACATTGCCCGAGTACTATTATTGAATTTTAGGATAACTTATTATTATTAAAAAAAAACAAATCTATATGCAAAATTTTAAAACATACCATTAATACAAACAGTGTTATGTATTAGATTTAGGATATTTAATATTGACGTACAATGTTATTCAAATTTTTACTAATTAAATAATAATTACTTGACAATCATACTTGTAAAATAAATAATACTCCGTAGTATGTACTACCGCTCATCGTAAAGTTGGGAGTGGTTTTGATAAAGAGTTTGAGTTATCTAGTGGCTCTTGAAAATAACGCAAGTAGCATGACCAGAGCAACTAAAAGAAATCAATTTGGAGTTGCACCTATTTTAATGTTATTGGATGATATTTATTTTATTTTTATAATAACCGTAACTTCTTTAAAAAAATGATGAAGTACAATATAACAATCTGTTGTGAACTTTATACTATTAGTATCATTGCAACGTTTGTAGATTCTCCCAACTCACAAATTATATCCACTGTACCTTTGCTTAAAAAAAACTTAACATTTAAAGTATAAACCCTCTTAGGGCATGTTCACATTTACTTAATTTCAGTTCAGTTCAGCTCTAATCAGTTTAGTTCACTTCAGCTCCAATCAGTTCAGTTCAGCTCCGCTCCCAATTTTCCTCTCTTATAAAATATTCATTTCAGCTCAGTACAGTCCAATTCAGTTCAGTTCAGCTCAGTTTAGTAAACGTGAACATACCCTTAGTATACATACCCTTAGTATGAAACCTTCTTTTTGCCTAAAATCTTTCGCAGCCAAGTATTCCAATATTCTTCACCATATTGTCAATTATTAGTCATCTTTAGCTTAGTAACCAACCTTTTTTCTTATTTTGATTTTATTTTATCTAAAATTATATTGCATTGACTATTATACATATCAATATGTCACATTAATGCTTATTTATTGTGTGCGACATGGTGAGAAGTTAAAGAATTTATATTTTTTTTTAAAAAAAGGTTAAAGAATTTATAAGATATTTATTAAAATTTATTATTTAATTTATACATATGAAATATAGGAATTTTATCGAAAATAAAATTTTTAACCAAACTTTTATCGAAAATAGAACTCTAAACTAACTTTCAACAGATTGTTCAACTAGTAATGGAAATAATATAATTCTTAAAACAAACACATTAGCCCTCCAAATCCAAATTAGGTACAATTTTTATACTCCTCTTTCTCTCTCATCAAAACTTGAAGGTGGCATCACAATGGAGACTAAAAATTGAAAATTGACGATTTCTCTCCCCTCTTCTTCACTTCTAATTTAACAAACGTGTAAAAACTTAGTTGCTCATTTATCAAATGAGCAAATACTTAATTGCTAATTCAACGAGGATAGAGATAGAATATTAAAGCAAGTGATGAGTGTAGTGTTAAAAAAAGAATAGACAGTGAGAAAAAAAATTGACACATCGAATTTGTAATTTATTAATATTGGTTACATGCATTCTAATAAAATTTAAAGGTAGTATTTGTGAAATTCTAAAATAGGAGTACTTATATTTAATTGTAAGTAATAATTGAAAATTATTTGAAATTGTGACAATTATACATCGAATTCGTAATGTAATGTAATTGCATGATTCACGACTTAATTAGTTGCATGTGAATTTGTATTAATGTAATGTAAATTATGTAATCACATGATTCACATGATATCAATATCCATCTCGAAAATATCTTTATGTCGTGGTACTAAGTCAATATTTACTTTGTCTATTTATACTTAATTAAATTAAAAAATGTGTAATAACATGAATCACGAGTTTGTTACATGTTTTTTTTTTTGTTATCTTGTTGTCGTCAATTGCTACTTTTAAATTGAGAATATTTGATTTGTTTTGGTCAAAAGAAGGTTCTAGATAGTTTCAGTTTCCCTTTATTCTATGATTGGTTGTTTTTAGGATTTTTAGTTCTCTCTTCATACAAATTTTATTGTCACACACTCACATCTTTTATTTATGTTTATCTCAATTTTATTGTCATGTTGGCTATTACGACAATAACTTAATAATCTAATGATATTCTCTCTATTTCTTCAAAAAAAAGTCTCAGATTATCTAGGTACATCGGTACATATGCTAACGTAATATCAAAAATTATTATTATTATTATTATTATTATTATTATTATTATATATATATATATATATATATATATATATATATATAAAAGAAAAAATAAGAAAGATTAAAAGAATGGTTAAAAAAAAAAAAAAAAAAGAGTAATAAATGGGCTCATTGGGTTTCAATCTCTTAACCTACATGTTATGAGATGTGAGCTAAAACCAAATCAGCCAAGTAACCTTGCTTTTATTACACTGCAGCTTAAACTTCTTATACGGTTTTTGGATCCACCCCTGGATCCGTACTTTATAGTTAGGTCTGGCTTTTATTTGTTTAATCCACCTTACTAGTTCGTTTTAGCCGCCCTATGCAATGCAAAAATTCATAATAAGATTTATTAATAAGATTGTCAATTGAAATGGAGTTAATTAAAACTAAATGACACATGTAATTTTTTTTTTAATTTGAATTTTCTTATTTAATGATCCTTTAAATTATATATACATAACGATTTTTAAAAAATAAATAGCATTTTGGAGGGAAAATTTTTCATAAAATTGTGCCAAGTATCATATCCGATGTTTGCTTTAGTATATAGTAAGTATAGATTTTTACTGAAATGAAATTACTTTGATTTTGATGAATAGGGTTTACTTTAGTTTTTTTTTTTGATACTCTATTATACTTGTTCTTTGAAATAACGTACTAACAATTATTCTTACTGAAGTAAAAATACTTTATCGACCATCATTCACTTCCTCTGTTTTCTTTTCATTATAACATCTATAGTCTCATGACGTGCACTTTAAAAAAGCTAAGTGATTAATGAAGTAACCATTGAATCAATTTATCAAAAAAAATTTAAATAGCGATAGATAGCTCATAAGAGGAAAGGGTATTAGGTACTCGTATATATGTAGTAGATTATACTCCCTCCATTTTTTTTTAAATTTGCTCAACCTTTTATTTCTGACCATTTTTTTAATACTTGCTCCATTTCCGTATTTGGAAAGCTTTTATAACATTTAATTTATTTCTCTCAACTAACGGACTCAATATAAATCATATATATTTTATTAATTTTATATTTTCTCTCCTCCAATTCTCTCAACTACTTTTGCTTTTTGCAATTTTTTTATTCTTCCACCTACGTCACTACCTATATATTTTAATACTTTCTCGAATTTCTCCTGTAACTCCGCGCATGGAAAAATGACACAAGTAATTGAAAACGGAGGGAGTATATCTTTGTGGGTCATATGAAATTTGAATTATTTTAATTATTGATGCAAATGGCTCTTGCTATATAAATGAGGCTATTATCCAAGCATTATTATCCAAGAGATAACATTGCATTACATACATTATTTGAAAGTTGTTTATGAAAACTCAACTTTCGTAAAATTAAAAATGTCAACTCAAACACCTCGTCCTGTTGCTAACTTTCATCCATGTCATTGGGGTGATCACTTTCTTAATATCACAAACCCTCATCATGACGAGGTAATATTAATTTTGTGTATTTTGTATTCTTAATTGTTATTTATAAATTAAATAAACAAATTCAAGAAATTTCATATCCGCTACGAATTTTGTATTCTTAATTGTTACGTACCAATTTATTTATTTTTTTTTTTTTTTGGCTCCTTTCATAAAACGGATGATTTAGGCAGTCCAAGTTGAAAAGGAGCAAGAATAACCCTCTTGAGCTGCTGAATTTCATCGACGTAATCGAACGTCTTGGATTGGCATATCACTTTGAACATGAGATTGAGGATGCTTTAAAGCAAGTTTACGAGAGCTATGAAGAGCAATGTGCCAAAGATGATCTCTACCATGTTTCGACTCGATTTCGTATCCTCAGGCAACATGGTTTCTTTGTGCCTTGTGGTAAGCATTTTACTAGGTGCCTTGATGATGCTTTCACATAATAATTATGCCTTAATCACGTAAAAATTAATTCGTTACTACACCACAGTGATTTGCAACCGTAACAATATAGTAATTGTGTGTTCGTTTATTGAATTGGGGTTTCGGAGCAGTTTGAGCAAAAGAGGAAGCATGTCGCATCAGCTGTGCAATGCTTGATGGAGAAACATGCATTGTCTGAGGAGGAAGCAAATGAGAAGCTAAAAGAACAAGTCGAGGATGCTTGGAAAGATATAAATCAAGCAATGCTCCAACTTCATGTGATTCCAAAACCTTTACTTATGCGGATTCTCAACTTCGCTCGTTCGGCTAATGTTATATACAAGGACGATGCTGATGGTTACACACATGTTAACCAAACTCTTAAGGACAAAGTTGCATCTGTTCTTGCTCATCCAATTCCCTTGTAATATTATTTCTATTTGAGGACAAAGTTTCCTTAAATTATTTTCTCTTGTAAGCAAGCTAAGTATGTGGTTTGTGACTGTGTCCTTTGTTTTTACGTTTGAGTTGGTGTCTTGAGGCATGGGAAAAATGCCTCATGAATAATGTTATATAATGTGACTATGTGACAATGTATGAGCCCAAGTTTGTTTGTTTCCTCATTGTATATAAAAATAAACCTTGTTTTCTTTATAGATTTTTCAATTGCCCTTTTAATTTGCTTTTTTGGTTCCTTTTTTACAAATGTTTATTGTGCTTAATTCAGTTAATGCACTTATATATAATATGTAAATATAGGTAGAGTTACCCATACCAAATTTATATATTCATTATACTCGCCTTTAATTTTTTTTATTGCGTTGTGGAATAATAATAATGTAGAAATAAATTAGTGAATCTACATACAACTTTCTATCATCAAATATACAAGTTATCATCCATATGTACAATAATGTATATTTGACATGATATTAACTATATCTATGATGCATGATTTTCTTTATCTTTCAGCTTTAACTTAAAATAAAGACTCAGCATGAGGCTTCCCATGAGGCTTTAACTATATCTTTGATGCATGATTTTCTCTATCCCTTTTCGCTGCCCCAACCCCCACCCCGAAACCGAAAAACAACCCCCTCCCCATGGGACCCCATCCCCCCACCGGAATCGGCCCCTCTCCCCTTCCCCGACCCTGAATCGGTCCCCCTCCCAAAATTGCCACCCTTAACCTTTAAACACCAGCCCAAAACCACCCTAATTGGGATATACGGTTTCGTTTATGGTGGTGTCGGGCTGGTGTTTAAGGGTTAGGGGTGGCTGTTTTGGGTTGGGAAGGAGAGGGGGTCGATTTAGGGTAGGGTAAGGGGAGGGGGCGATTCCAGTGGGAAGGGGGTTGTTTTCCGATTTTGAGCTGGGGGTTGGGGCAGCGAGAAGGGGATAAGGGGGGGTTGTGCTGTATTTGGCGCCAGCAGGGGGAGCTGAGCAGCGATGGTGGCTTGGTGTTTTTTTTAAAAAAAATCATGGTGGGTTGAAGGTGGCTGACAGGGAGGCAGTGAGGGTGTGCGAGGAGGAGGTTGGCAGTGAGGGTTGTTGATCTCACTAACGGAAATTGTAACTAAAAGTGTTTCAGTGGTAGCAAAATTAAAATTATGTGATTTTGTGTGGTAGAAAAATTAAAATTATGTGATTGTGTGGTAGGGAAAAAAAAGCGTTGGATGGGCAGCAAAAATGAAGTAGGGGTGTTTGAGTGGTAGTAAAGTGATATTTACCTTTAATTAACAATTTATTTTTTAAAAAAAAATAGCCACCACTAGTAGAAAAAACCAATTAGGCACCAGTTCAAACCCACCATAACCCACCGGTTTTGACCACTGAATATGTGAGGGGTGGCAATACTCCACAAGTATTGCAACCGGTTCCGGTTAATCGGTGGCAATGATGCTACCCGCTTTTTTTTTTAATTTTTAACATAAATGCCACCGGTTAACCGGTGGCAATAACATGTATATAATTTTTTTTTCTGCAATTATAATAAAAATAATATTAAAAAACCATGTAAAATACAAACCAAACAACATCACAATCAATATAATAGAAGCACAATTTCTCACATTATATTCAACAAGTAAATTGTTATTGTAAAATACAAAAAAAAATAAAAATACAATGAATTACAATACAAACGTTAAATTGTTATTGTACAATACAAAAAAAAAATACAACATCAAAACAATCCACCAAAATCAAAGTCTTCTTGTTTCATCAATTAACACCTGCATAAAATAATAATAATAATAATAACTCAGAAATTATTACAACATAAAAAAAATTGCGAATAAAAAAAAAATCCCAGAAATCATGCATGTACCCATCAACTTTCGAAAAAAAGTAAGAGTTTTTAAAACTCAGAAAACCCGGAAAATTGAGTCGATAAGAAGAAGAAGAAAAAAACTCAGAAAAACTCAAAATCGAAATCCAGAAATCCCCGAAAAAAAAAAATAAAAAAATCAAAATCGAATAAAAAAACCCAAAAAATATTACAAAAAACTCAAAAAGTAAACCCTAAAAACCAGAAAACTCAAAATATAAATCAAACAAACCCAAAAAACGCATGCATGTAACCAAAAAAATCAATTAATTAAACCCAAAATTAACCCAAAAAAATCGAATTAAAATTAAGAAAAATCGATTAAAATAAACCCAGAAATCCCCGGAAAATATAAAATAAAAATCAGAAAAATCAAAACCAGATAAACAAAATAAGAAAAATCAAAATCGAATTAAAACCCTAACCTCGATTAAAGTCGGTGTTGTATGTTGATGGAAACGAAAGAGAAGAACTGGAGAATGAGACGAAAGAGAAGAAGAAGGAGACGAGAATCGGAGAAGAACGAAGATGTCGGTCTTCGTGGTCTTCGGTGGTGGCTTTGGTGGTCTTCGTGTTGGTGATGGTGGTGAGACCAGAGAGTACGCAGAGCAGGAGATAAGCATGAGAGAGAGGGAGTGGAGAGAGAGGGAGAGGAGAGAGACCGAGTGAAGAAGGAGGCAAATGAGGGTAGGGACGTAGGGTTAGGGTATAAATAGGAAGGTTTTTTTTAAAAAAAAAAAAAAAAAAAGCACCGGTTTAGTTCAAATCGGTGGGGAAAATGGTTTTTCCCACCGGTTCGGTTTGAACCGCAAAAACCTCCCCTCAAAATCCCAACTGTTTTTTCCCATATTTTCTCCACCGGTTTTTAAAAACCAGTGACCTTAGCTCGGTGCCAATCTCCTTTTTTCACGCAGTGCACCCACGTCCACCCAGCCAGGCACCACCCTGTTATAACACCGCAGCCGACGTGGAATCCGATCAGCCAGCGCGGAATTCCTTCAGCTAGCCACCACCAGTATCCCACCACCTAAAAACCCCCTCCCTCCCTTAAAAACTCTCGCTCCCCAATTAACGACGCACAGACTACCAGCGTCCAAACCCCTTCCCCGTGCTGGCGAACTTACTTCACCCCTTCTGCTTCCAACTCCACCTTTGAAGCGTGATTCCACGTTCGATCGAGCAAGAACAATGGGAGATAAAGAACCACAAGCATGATTCCTCTACTTGGTCCACGGGCACAGATTAAGACCTCCACTAATGCTAGTTAGTTGCAATTGAACCCTTCAATTGACCTTCTACGGAAAAGAGCGAGCAACAAACCACCATGAACCACCAAGAACCACCACGAACCATCACACGCGCCACCAAGAGTGGCCAGACGTACAAACGAGGGGAGGAGAGAGATAGCCGTGAGATAGAGAGAGGAATTAGGGTTTTGGAATTGGTTTCCTTGATGTCAAAATACATTGTGTGTGAATTATGACTGCTATCTTGCAACCCTAGGCATGGATCTTATTTATAGATCTCATCTTTAAATAAGAGCCCATGTCAAAAGCCCAAAACCTAATTCCAATCTAACTATGCTAGCCCAATCCATTTCATGATTAGTTAAATGCTCATGAGGCCCATTAATGGGCCTCTTACTTGCTTAACCCAATATCCTTGTTGTGTGACCTCATAGGATCCATTCTAGTAGGCTTTGGACTTTTTTACTAGCCCAAAGATCATTTATCATAGTCTAGCAACAGATAATGACAACCCAAAAGAACGAACTTATTATCTCCATAATAGTGATCCTTGATATATCTAGTAATTGCACTTATCAAAGACACAATTCCTTCAATCTCCCACTTGTCTGAGACAAGTGCGCAATATTCAAATTCCTTAAGTCAATGTGTGTCGATTTGATAATATGATTGCATCTCATGTCATGATCATATTAATATACAAATCTTTTCTTGAAAACTAAGTTAGAATTACAAAACAAATTATTACTATGTAATTCATTTGAGCACGACCATGCATTTTCTGAATTCTCCCTCTTCAAGGGGCCAAGACACATTCCTAATTAAATAGGTAGACTCAATCCAATCTTGTGGCATCCAAGGCTCTCACTCAAATTATGAGGTAATTAGGAAACACTCTTTATAATCTCCAGTTACGGGAAGACGTTTGAATGTACACAGTTACATCAATCATTGAATGAAATCAATGTTCCACTCATGTCAAAGGAATCCACTAATATATCCAGAAGTTCTATACTTGAACTTCAAATTAGGTCTATAGTTTGATCATGCATACCCATGTGATTGACCGAGCTTCAATACGCTCCTATAGCCCATGAAACTGTGCTATCCAATCAATCTTACATGCTAGTCCAATTTATGAAATCATTTATGTCCACTTTAATGATTCCGAACTAGGAACTTAAATATTATATGAATTTTAATCACCTGTGGGGTTTCATTCACCAGGTTATTTAAATAAATTAATCTGATGAGCCCATCAATCCATAATTATTTTGGACATTTTATTTAATCTTGAAACCTTGATTAAATAAGATTGAAACTTTGTTTCAATTGATAAACATAATTCTGCAAATGAATGTATTACATATGTAACTTGTTTTTCTCCAAAAACAAATACAACTTCTAATTACATCATTTGCCTCAATCCAGTTTCATTAGCATGTTTCTCATGCTTTGGAAATGGAAGGGGTTTACTAAGTAGAGTTCATGAGACATTCTCATAAACATGAATTTTGCAATTTCTAAATCTTATAATCATTTTCATCTCCATACACTAAGAATTTTCCTTCGTTCTTTCACAAGGAATTTAGAAATTTCTAATTTGTATTCCAACGTTACATTGGATTTCGATTGAAATCTATCATCACTTGTTCTTAAAACACATGAATCAAATAGATGAGTATAGTCCATGACATTCATGATGCATCCTTTGCATATTGCATGAGGATCATCACTCAAAACTTTAATTTCATCAACCTTTCTCAAAGCATTGAATCATTAAGCAACGTGACATGTTACATGGGATTGAAACTCCTTTCAATATAATGTTAAACCTTATAAGAATCTTATCAATATAAGCTTCTTAATCAAACTCAAACATCCTTCAAAAATTATTTCTATAGATCTTGAATCCCAAATGTACTCATCTTCTTCTTCAAGGTTTTCATACAAAATGCATTACCCATCACTTGACTGTTCAAGCAATGAATAATTGCTCTTTTTACTAGATAAGAAGACTTTATAGCTCCCACTAAACATCTTGTATACACAAGACCTTTTCT